TTTCTCTCTCTCTCTCTCTCTCTCCCTCCCTCTCTAAAAGTAAATAAAATCTTAAAACAAACAAACTCAAGCCTCTTTCATGGCTAAAAAGGAAAGAGAGCTAGCGACCCGTGTGGCCCACAGGAGTGACACACGCACCTCTCATGTGACCACGTCCCCTGCACATGGGTGGTCACGGCAGCCCTGCACTGTGGGGCACTTGGGGGGCAGTGACAATGGCCTCACCCCCCACCAAAGCCACTTGCATGTCTGCCACCTCCTGGCTACCTGGGCGGGAGGGGGGAGGGGCTGGGGGCACAGGCATCCGGGGGGGCTGTGGAACTGCCCCTCCCCCCCCGACGGAGCCAACGGTGCCTCGCCCCAACACGCACCGGGCACAGCTGACACCCTTCTCGTCGGGGCTGCGCCCCAGGAACCCGCTGTGCGAACTCTCAGGGTGCTGGGGCCCGTGAGGCTGGAACGTGACACGGCACAGGTGCTCTGCTGGCACCTGCACTATGTCAGCAGCAGCGGAGGACGGGGCACCTGGGGAGGCCACCCCTGCCGGCCCTCGGGCGCCTCCTGGGACCGGCTGCACCGGGACCGGCACCTCCTTCGCCCACCGGTGCTGCTGGGCTGTCATTTTAAAAAGGAAGTTACGCCCTGGCTGGTGTGGCTCAGTGGACTGAGCGTGGGCTGCGAACCAAAGCGTCGCAGGTTCGATTCCCAGTCAGGGTACATGCCTGGGTTGCAGGCCACGGCCCCCAGCAACCGCACACTGATGTGTCTCTCTCTCTTTCTCCCTCCCTTCCCTCTCTAAAAATAAACAAATAAAATCTTAAAAAAGAAAAGGGAAGTTACATCCCCATCCTGGGCCCTATCCTGCCGGTCCCCCAACTTGGGTCCTACCCACGCCCAGACAGGGACAAATGTCCCTGCTCCAGGGCCCCCCCCCCCGGGGCCGGGCTGGGCTCTAGCAGTGTGACCCCCTGGCCCAGGCCAGGAGGCAGTGTGGGCGGTGGAGGTGGGGTGGGCTGATTCGAGATCGAAACCTTCTGATTCCTTCTCTGTGGGACCCCAAGGGACAGCCCTCCGGCTGAGCAGGCAGGCGGCCCAGCTGGAGTGACCACGGCTGCGCGCCAGGCTCTGCCCCGGAGGCTCAGCGGAAGCCATCAGACGGGACGGCAGCGGCGCTGACCTGCGAGGTGGGCCTCGGGGCCTGGCCCGGGCACATGCCCTTGCCAGCTGCTGCGGTGGCGTCCAGGAGCCCACCGGGGCACACCGGGGACAGCCGTGCTGTCACCGTGCCCCGTGTCAGGACGCCGGGCCGGCCGGGCCGAGGCTAAACGTTCCCGAGGGCTCAGCACCACCCACGTCCCCCGGCCCACCCCACCGAGCTGGCCCCGGAGCTCAGTGACAAACACGCCCCTGAGCCCCCCGCCTGCAGAGTGGCTCGCAGGGGACACCGGGCAGACCCAGGGAGCTGACTGTCCCCTGCGAGAGAGCAAGGCCGCACAAGGCCCCCAGCTCACAGGCCCCCAGGAGCATCCTGGCGCCAGCACAGCACAGCACAGCACCCCCGGGGACCCCGCCGGGGGAGGGCTAAGGTGGCGGCCCGTGCTCGCGTCTGCAGAGGGAGGCGTGTGTTGGTCTCAGGCTTCCACAGCCGGTGGCATCGGCCTTCCGATCAAATATCTGCCCAGCCAAGCCGGGGGGGCCCCGCCTGCAGCCCAGGCATGGAGAGAATGTTGGCTCAAGGCTGGGGGCGGTGAGAAAGGGGGTCAGGCATAGGAAGGGCCCCGCCCCCCAGCACAGAACAGGGGAGAGGACCTGGGTTGGCACCGCATCCACCCCACCGTGACTGTCAGGCTCCCCCCCCTCCTGCTGCCTGGCCTCCACGGGGCCAAGGGGCAGCTGGGGTGACGGGGCCGCCCGGCCACGATCAAATACTTGTTCAGGCAGGGGCCACACCCTCCTCGGCCACCACAACGTGCAGTCTGTGGCTGCAGGCATGCCCAGGGGCCACGGAGACCGCAGGGACAGACCCCTTACTGCACCCGGGGTGCCCGCCCCCTGTGCCCACCCACCGCAGAACCCATGCTGCCCCCCAGGACCCCACTGCCCTGACCCGCACACACCCGCCAGCTCCCATGCCCCCCCAGGAGCTGGAGAGCGGCGAGTCCCCACCAACACCCCCACCCCAGCCAGGGCCTTCTTGGTGACATCCTGCCTGAGGTCACCAGATCGGCGACGACCCACTGTCCATGTATGGGGTCCGGACACAGCACCGTGGCGTCTGCTCTGACAGAAGACGACAACGGCCCGGGACGTGGGGGCATGGCGAGGGGGCGGCGCAGACGCCCAGGCCGGGCCCAGGCCGGAGACACGTCTGGGCCGCGGGGTCAAAGGCGAGCCTCGTTATCTGTGACACCGAATTCCTTGACTTCAAAACAGCCCGCCGGGCCCAAAGGTGCTGCCAACTGCTCCCCACGAGGGGGAGGGTGCAGAAGGGGTCACGGCACCCACACCTCCTGCAGCGGCGCTGGTCAGAGACCCCTGAAGGTCACTCGGGCCAGCCTTGCTCTTGGCAGGGAGGGAAACTGAGGCCAGAAAGGAAAAGGGACTTCTGAGTGTCCTCGGAATGTTCTAGATTCCACCAGCCCAGAGACGGTCCTGCCCAACCCCCGTCAGGGGCCCTGGGCTGCCTGGCCACCGGAGGCGGATGTGAGGGCGTCCCGGGCCCGGCCGGCCCAAGGCCCGGAGGGAGCCTGGGATTCAGGGCCAGCGCCCGAGGGGCGGCCAGCCTTTGGGGACAGGCCCTTCCCTGCCCGCTCGCCCCCACGGCCCCTCCCTCTGTTCCCAGCATGCCCGGCGCCCAGTGATGCCAGCAACGTCACTGCCAATAACCTAGATTTTAACCAAGAAATCACACACCCCCTCCCTGCCCCACTTACGGGCTCACCGAGGAGAGAGAAAGCCCAGGCCGGAGCATCCCGGGCCGGCTGGAGGCGGGACCAGCCCCGCCCCCGCCCCCTCTGCTCTCCCAGCCTCCCACCCCCGTCCGCCCTCCAGCATCCCAGGGGGGCGCAGGCTCCCCCCAGTCCCCAGAGACCCGGGCAAGCCCTCGCGTGCTCGCAGCCTCGACCAGGCCCGCGCCCCCGGCCGTGTGGGACTCACACCTTTGCCCGAGATCCAGGGTGGGGGTGCTGGCGAGAAGGCACCTCAAGGCTGGGGGGCGCCTCCTCGGCCTCCCAATCCCCCCACGCTGGCCTTCCTGTGGCCACCATCCCACTGGCTCCTCAGAAGCCCCAAGGACACAGGTGGGCTGCCACTGCCCAGGCTCACCCAGCCGGAGGAGCAGGGGCGCCAGCTCCCGGAGCCTCCCACTCCCCCGAACACGCCACGGCCCAAGACCACACTGGCCGCAGGGGCCGCTGTGCGGGGAGGACCCCGGGAGACATGCCCTGCCACAGGCCACCTGTGAGCAACCCCCTGCCCTGGGCCCTTGACAGGTTCCGCCCTCACTCCCCGACAGAGCCTCGCCCCCCTGGCAGCACGAGGAGGACGGGGAGACCTCAGGGACTGGGGGGTCTGCCCGGGGCCCGTGCAGCCTGCCTCCTGAGGGAAGGGGGACCGTGGGGGCCGCCCAGGATGGGGCTCCATGGGGCCCCGCCCCACCTCCCCATGGTGGTCGGCACACCACAGACCCCGGGAGGCCCCACCAAACCTGAGCCCCACGGGCCTCCTAGCAGGTGTCCTAGCGGTGGGCCCACCGGGGCCTTCCTGCCCTCTGCTGCTGAGAGGGAGAGCCAGGACCAGGGTTCCCGCAGGTCCGACAAGACGCATTTAAAGGAAGTAACGCCTTCTAGGAAACAGCCACCCCAGAGCCCCTTAGAGGGAGCCGGGCTGGCCAGACCGGGGACAGAGGCCCGCCTTCCGGTCCTGGGCAGCCCCTGGGGATCCAGCCGTCCCAAGGGCCTGGCTCCCTCTGCCCCCACCTCCTGGGACTCACGCAGGAGCCCCTGCCGGGAAGGCGAGGCGCCGGCGAGGGAGAAAGAGCAGAGGTGGCCGCAGCTGCCCCCACTGAGGCGCAAGCCCCTGGTGGGGGACGGGGGAGCAGAGAGTCCCCGGCTGCCCCTCGGGGCCACAGCGCGGGGACGTCACCCGCCGCTGGCACAGGTATCCGGATCCAGTCCACCGGACATGGGCCCCGCGTGCAAATCAGGGCAGGCCGCCGGCCCGGGCACCCAGCCAGTTTCCAGGGAACACCTGATCCGGGGCCCCACCTACGGGACCCTCTCCCCAGCAACCCCCGAGCCTTCTCCAAGCCCCGAGCGAGGGAGCCCCCCTCAACCTGCAGACGGCTCGTTCGGTTCAGTGGGCGCTGTCTGGCCTGTCCCCTGGTGCTGGGTCCAGGGAGGCAGCAGCAAACAGGACGGGCGCAGGGGAATCTCTGGACTCACTGGGTGGGTGGAAAGGGGCTGAGGCCGGCGGGCCTGCCGGGGTGCTTGCGGAGCCAGGCCCCTCAGACGGGGACGCCGAGGCCTTGGGCAGGTGAGTGACACTGGCTCGGGTCACACAACAGTCTGTGAGCCCTCCAGCAGGTCCCCGGTCCACTGGGGCCCTCCGTCCCTTCCTCCGTCCAATGGGAGCCAGGACCCACTCCCCCTTGTGCTACGCTAGCTTCCAGCGGGTTTCACCCGGCTACACTCCTTCCCCTGGCCCCTCCTCTCACCCAGGATCAAGCTGGAAGTCCTAAGCAGAGGCCCCGCAGGACCGACCTAGGACCAGTTCTGCCTCAGGTCTCAGCTCCTCCCAGCTCCTGCAGCCTGGGCTGGAGGCTCCCTGCTGCACACCTCTGGCGCTGCGGCCTCCCCAGGTGCCCTGGACCCCATCCGCCTGCAGTCCCAGCAGGGCTGGGAGACCCACCGGGAAGGGGTCGGGCGTGTCTCGGTGCCCACGCAGGGCCTGGAGGCCATCCACGCCTGCTGGCAGGCGGGCGGGCAGGCGCAGCACGTTACCTGCGTAGCTGCCAGCGGCCTTGACGTACATCTGGCCGTACTGCTCCTCCACCATGGTGTCATAGGCCTCATCGTCATCGTCCTCCTCGTTGTGGTAGGAGGTGGGGCTGTCGGTGGTGGGCAGGCTGCTGGCCCCCGGGCTGGTCCGCTCCCCCTGGGAGTAGGGCACCTGCTGGATGCTGGGGATGAGGGTGGCCAGGCTGGGCACCCCGTAGTAGGAGACCCGGGGCAGCTTGAGAGGAGCCGCGCCGGACGCCACAGCGGCGGCACCCGCCGCCACCGCGGCCCCATCCCGGGGCCCCGACTCCAGCGGGCGCTTGGGCGCCAGGCCCGGGCCGGAGGCCGGCGGCGGCGGCTCGGCGGCTTCGTGCTTCACGCGGGTCAGCAGCGGGATGGGCACGGACGGGGACACGACGTAGGGGGGCCCGGGCGCGGCCGGCTGCAGCTGGGTGCAGGGGCTCTGGGGCTCAGAGCTGGCGTCCTCCATCACGGCCGTCTGCGAGTCGCAGTGGGGCGAGCTCACCTTGAACAGGAGGTCCGTGCCGCGCTCCACGATGTGCTGGATCTGCAGGAAGCCGGCCGTGTACATGACCACGAGCTGCTCGCTGGCCGCCATGGTCAGCCGGCCCGTGTAGCAGAAGGACAGGATCTGCTGGAAGCAGGCGGGCGGCACGGTGCCCGGCAGCTCGAAGGCGCTCTTGCTGTTGCCGCTGAACAGGTCGCGGAAGTACAGGCTGCTGGCGGCCAGCACGGCCCGGTGGGCCTTGAAGGCCTGGCCCTTGACCACGATGGACACATCGCAGTAGAGGCCCAGCAGGCGCTGCTCGTTGAGGCAGCCGAGCACGGTGTTCCCGAAGTTGGGGATCTCAATGTGCAGCATCTGAGACATGGCGGGCGGGCGGGCGGCGCCTCGGGCTCTCAGCGCGGGAGGGGCCCGAGCGGGCACATCTGGGGGGAGAGAAGGCGGGGGGGGGGCACCACGGTCAGCTTCCTGGACACCCCGCACCCCCCTCCGCCCCGAAGGGCCAGGCCCGTGCATCCTCCTAGAACATGCTCCACCCCAGCACAATCCCTGCCAGTCACCCCCCCCAGATCCCACCGGCCAGGACGGTCCCTGGGTCTCGGGGTGACCTCGCTCACAGGCGATCCAGGCAGAGCCGACGCTCGGAGCCGGATGGGACACCAGAAGCCCAGAGCCGCATGCTCAGCCAGAACAGGCCCCGCACCACCCCTGGGTCGCCCCCAGAGCACCCCCCGCTCAGGGGGCAGTGGGAGCCTCAGGCCGCCCCAGACACCCATCTCAGCAGGAGACAGAGAGAAGCCTGCACCGCAGTGGGGACAGGAGGACGGGAACGGGGCCATCCACCCCCAGCAGCGGGGAGGGGCGCGGGCAGGCACGGGCTGGCTCCCACAACTCTTCTCCCCAGAAAAAGTTCACAGCAGCAGAGAAGCCCCTGGCTGCCTTTCCCCAGGGAGGGGCCGAGACCCAGAGGGAGGGGCCGAGACCCAGAGCAAGGGGTACGGCACCCCCACGGTGCTGCACGGGGTCTTTTCCCAGGCTCTGGGTTTCTAGTTTGTTTTTCTTCTTGTTTTCTCAGAGCAGCGCAGGGTCCAGGTGGTGCAGGGCGGGGGGGGAGTACGGAGGGGGTGCCCGAGGAGTTAGTGAAATGGGAGAACTCTTGAGGCTCAGGCTCCACCACCTCTGCCCCCCCACTCCCTGTCCTGCAGAGGGGACCTCCAGGGCCAGCGGAGCTCCCCGAGCTGCCGCCGCTGTTAGGGACCCGGCTGCAGGGCCGGCCGGGAGCCTGGCGCAGCCCCCCCACCCCACCCCAGCTCCCATCACGGGCCGATCCCTCCGGCTCCTTCCGAGCTCAGGTGACTACGGGGGCCAGGGGGGGACGGGGAGCAGGGACCGGCCAGGGCTGGCGATGCTGCCGGGCGCCCCGGGGCTGCGGACGGACGGGCTCTGGCACTGTTGATCCCGCGCCCGATTCCGGGAAGGGGGGCCGGCTTAACTCCGCGCAGCCCTCGGAGCCGCACAAAGGGCCGCTCTGTCCCGCGGGAGGAAAGTGCCGGCCGCAGAGGCGCGAGGCGACCCACGGAGGGGGGCAGCGCGAGGGCGGAGCGCGGGGGGACCACGACGGAGTTCGGCAGGTGGGCGCCGCCGGGGGGAGGGCCCGCAGTGCCCCTGCTGCTGCTGCTGCTGCTGCTGCTGCTGCTGCGGAGAAGTTGCCAGCCCGGCGGGGTGGCACTGGCCAGAGGGGGAGACCTACCTTTGGCGGCTGCCGCCGGTGGCCCCGCACGCACTGCCCGCTCAGCCTGGCAGGGGCAGGCTCGCCCCCCGCTCGCCGGCCGCCCGCAGCCGCCAGCTGCTCCGGGAATGCAGCAAACGGGAGCGGGAGCCCTTGGGGCGGGGAGGGCGCGAGGAGCCCGGAGAGCAGGAGCAGGAGGAGGAGGAGGAGGAGCGGGAGGGGGAGGGGGAGGGGGGCAGCGAGTCTCGGCGCTGGGCTGGGCGGCCGCGGCTCAGCTGCACCGGCCCGGCGGCTCTCCCGGGCGGCGCGCAGCATCTAAATGAAGGGGCCGGATGCAGACGGACATCCAGGCAGCTCCCGGGGATGAATAGCTGCCTTTGATTTGGGAGCCGCGGCAAATGCCAGCTCCCAGCCCCGGCTTTGAAAGCGGCGGAGCGCCGGTGCCAGAGGAATGCGCGGCCCCGGGTGTTGGTACAAGACAGACTTTTGATGACTCACTGCAATGCAAACAAAGATGGCAGAAATACTGTACTGTACGCGGAGAGCCGCTCCGCGGAGCCGGGCGGCCAAGCCAGCTTGGAAATTTATAGTGCAGTTTTGCATATGAATTGCCCAGTAAACTGCCGCCTGCCATCCAGCACAGCCCGGGTGTCAAAGCATTTAAACTATTCCAAACAGTCTGCGGAGCTGGCAGGCCCGCGGGGCGGGCGGGTGAGGGGGCCGGGGGGCCAGGGGTGGGGCGGACGGGGCAGACGCCGGGCCAAGGAGGGGGTGGGGGTGGCGGAGAAGGGGAGAAGAGAGTGAGGAGGGCACTGCAGAAGTGGGGGCCGGGGTGGATGCAGAGGCCAAGGCTGGCACCCCGAGGGGCCCCAGCTCCCATTTCTGCTTCTCCTCGGGGGTCCCCGAGCAGCAGACCCAGCTCGCACAGCCCCACACCCACGGCCCACCAGCCCAGGGTGGTCCCCCTGAGCCCCAACCCCTCGCCGGATCAGAGTTTAAAGAAGAGCAACTTCATGCGTCAACCATGAGCTGCCAGGGGAGCAGCCCAGCCCCCGAGGAACCTGCCCCAGCGGAGATGCCAGCGGAAGACCCCCTGGCCCCCCTGGGGGAACAGAGTGGGCGGGGCTGCCCTGAGGGCCCACAGGGCCTGGCCTCCCTGAGCCTTTCCCCGCAGAGAGGCGGGCGCTCACTCTGTGTGGCCGGGGCTGGCCCGTCTTGCTCAGGAGGGGCGCCTTCTTCTAGGCTGCAGCTACCACTGCCGGATAGAGCGGCCCCTGGGGCAAACCACTGTCCCGCCCAGTCTCCTTCCCCACCTGCCACCCGCTGTGACCCTAGGGAGAGCACATGCAGCCTGCAAGAAGAGACAAGGTCACGCCTGGAGGTGGCCGAGGTCTGGTCCGCCACAGTGACACACCCCTGCCATCACCTGAGCATTCGCCTCAGTGGCTGGGGCAGGGAGGAAGCCGGGGGGCAGGGAGCAGCCCCCCTCCCACCCCCCACACACCTGGTGTCCCCCCATCCACACGCTGCAGGCTCAGACACAGGGCAGGTGAACGGGGCGGGGGAAATCCAGGTGAGGGGAATCTCAGAAGCAGTAGCCCACAGAGGCTCCTGGGGGTGGGTGGCTCTGCATCCCCTACGTGGGGCTGCTGACAGTTGGCGGGTCACACGAGACAAAGACCGGGGCACTAGGGGGCTGTCCCACAGGCCCAGCCGGCCAGCCAGGGCCACGCCAGGAAACAGAGAGATACCCCGAGACTGAGGGACGACAGACCTATGATAGGGATGGGGGAGGGGGTGCAATCCCCACAGGGCAGGGGCAGGACCAAGCCCCCCCCCCAGTACGGAAGCTCCAACCTTCAGGCCCCGGCTGCACGGGCACCACCTGGGGGCTCCCCAGGGCCCCTGTGAGCTCAGCGAGAGTGGGTGTCTGCGCAAGGCCCAGCAAGCGGTCAGCCTAATGCGGGGTGGGGCTGGAGAGAGTGAGCGGACGCAGCCGCGCTGCCCGCAACTCCCAGCACCGGGGGGAGGGGCCCCCAAATGGGCCCCTCAGACCAACAGTGCTCACTGCCGGGGCCTCCCAGATAACGCGGTGGGGTCACCGGAGCCAGACTGGGGGTCTTGAGTCATAATGGGGAGGGGGCACCCAGCCCGGCTGGGGTGTGCAGAGGTCAGCAAAGGGGCACTCTGCGCTGGCTCCCCTGGGGTCCCAGCGGGCCCGGGGCTGGGCAGGCCGGGTGGTGGGGTCCTACATGCAGAGTGGGGGCAGCGCAAAGCCTTGGACACCTGCTCCTTCCAACATTGGGCCCCGGGTCCCACTGGGTGTCACCCCTACATGCCAGCCCTGGCCCCAGCCCCAGCCACGTCACACCCACGCCCCATGACCCCAAGCACATGACACAGGGCCTGGGGTGCTCATCGGTCAGCTGGGGGTCAGGTGCAGCCTCGGGCAGAGACGGGGCGGGCGGGGGGTGTCCAGGGAGACGACACTGGTCAAGCCCGAGGCTGGGGTAGGCACACGCCCCACCTGGTGAGCTGTCACCTGCCCTGACCTGGACAGGAGGGCAAGGGTCCAGGCTGGTGTCTCTGTCACCACACACACACACATACCGGCCTCAGCCCTGCGTCTCGGGGGCCCGCACCCCGGGGCCGGGGCCAGACCACTGGCCCAGAGAAGGGACCATTATTCCCCAGGAAGGTGACGAGGCCGCCCGGGCCCCCGGGGATCGAGGACAACTGGCGCTGTCGCCGCTGTGTCCTCACGCCACCTGTGCGGGCGAGGCTGGCGCCCCGCGGCCAGGCCCATGGGAGCCGGACCCGGGCTGGTTTTAGGTTGCTTTCTTAGAAGCCCTGGCTGGGGCGGGAACAAAGCTGAACTTTAGGAGGAAAGAATAAAATAAAGGCTTGGTTTACGTGCCCGGGGCCCGCAAGAGCGGGTCGTGCCAGGGGCCGACCCTTGTGCGGAAGCCAGAGGGGAGAGGGGGCCGGGGCCGGGCGGGCAGGGGCGCTGGGGCCGGCCGCCTGCCAGGAAGCGGGGCACCTACTCACCTTTCCCTGCCTGGGGGGGCCCCTGCCCGCCCGGGCCACCTTGTCCCACCTTGTGCCTCCGAGTCCCCCCCCACCTCGTTTCCCAAGCAACACCCCCTTTTCCGTGTCCCTCTGCGTGAGCTCCAACATGCCTGGGAGAGCCAGGCAGGGACCCCGGACTCGCTCCCCCGTGGCCTCCCTCCCAGCCCCTGTACCTCGGAGCCCACCCCCTGGGAAGGCCCTTTCAGAAGGGGACCCCGCGGACAACGCAAAGCCGGAGTCCAGCACCCACGGCTGGGCTCCAAGGACCCCCACCCCCGCCCCCAAAGGTGGTGGGGTGCAGGTGGCCAGGAGGCCTCTGCCCCGAGGACCTTCCCTCTGGGCAGCAGCCGGGCACTTGAACTGCCCCCAGGCACCGGGGTGGTCCGCCAGAGCCCCCCCCAGCCCCTGCAGGAAGGGGACAGGGCGTCGGCCCCAGGAGCAGCAGACATGCAGGACCCAGAGGTCAGCCGGGGCCAGAGTCCCAGAAGCCCCGCCGGACAGCCCGCTGCCCCCCACTCCCTGCGCCCCCCAATTCTCAACCACTTCCTGTGGCGGCGGCGGCGCGGCAGGGCGCAGGAACGCAGCGCCCGACTTCTGTGGGATCACCACCAGCATGGGCGAGGGAGG